TGTTGTTATGTACCATCGAGTCACACCTGACTCATAGTGACCCCTCCTTGGGTTTCCGAGGCAGTATCACTACGGAAGTAGATTGCTCCATCTCCCTTCCGAGGAGTGGCTGGTGGGTTTGAACCGCCAGCCTTCTGTTTAGCAGTCAAGTGCCTTAGCCACTATGCTACCAGAGCCCCCCCTGCCACCCCTAGTAACCAACAAAGAAAGTTTCCTTCCACATATAAACCTTTCCTCAACTTTTTACAATAATGAACTAATACTATATTTGTCCTTCTATGATTGACTTATTTCACTCAGCATGATGTCCTCTAAGTTCATCCATGTTATGTGGTGTTTTGCACAGTCTACGTTATTCTTTAGTGTTGCATAGTATTCCACTGTGTGTATGTTTATTATCTATTCTTTTGTTGATGGGCACATATGTTGTTTCCATCTTTCTGCTATTATGAATAGCGCTGCTATTATAAATAGCGCTGCGATGAACATGGGTGTGCATATATCTGTTCTTGTCCTGGCTCTTATTTCTTTAGGATATATACCTACTAGTGGGATTGCTGAGTCAAATGGTATTTTTAATTCCAACTTTTTAAGGAATCATCATACTGCTTTCCACAGTGATTGTATCATTTACAGTCCCACCAGCAGTGTATGAGAGTCCCAATCCCTCCACATTCTCACCAGCATTTGTTATTTTCTGTCTTGTTGAACTTTGCCATTAGTGCTGGAGTGAGATGGTATCTCATTGTTGTTTTGATTTGCATCTCTCTGATGGCTCATGATTGTGGGCATTGCTTCATGTATTTGCTGGCTGCCTGAATATCCTCTGGTAAAGTATCTATTCATGTCTTCTGCCCATTTTTTAATTGGATTGTTACTCTTTTTGTTGTTGAGGTGTTAGTTTTCTATAAATTTTAGAGATAAATCCCTTGTTGCCAAATATTTTTTCCCAATCTGTAGGTTCTCTTTTCACTCTTTTGGAGAGATCTTTGGAAGCACATAAAAATTTAATTTTCAGAAGATCCTGTTCATCTAGTTTGTCTTCAGCTGTTTGTGTATCTTGAGTTATGCTTGACAGCCTATTTGTGTCATAAATCAGGGCCCCTAAATTTGCCACTATTTTTTTCCTTGAGGAATTCTATAGTTTTAGGTTTCACATTTAAGTCTTTGATCCATCTGGAGTTAGTTTTTGTGTATGGTGTGAGGTATGGATCTTGTTTCATTTTTCTGAAACTTAATATCCAGTTTTGGCACTATCATTTGTTAAAGAGCCCACCTCTTGCCAATTTATGGAGTTCATCCCTTTGT